CGCCTGCCACACGTGCTGGGGCGTGGCGGAGCAGCCAAGTGGGCGGTGGATGGCGGCGTGGTCTTACGCGGCCAGGCAGCGGCTCCCCTCCGGCGCGGCGCGGTCTTACACAGCGAGGAGGCGGCCCTCCTCCGGCGTAGGCTGCCGGGCACAGTAGGTGTTGCTGGTGGCGCGCTCCTCCCGCGGGCTTTGTAGCCGCCGGCCCTGCGTCCCCCGCCTCGTCCGAAGCACGCCTGCCACACGTGCTGGGGCGTGGCGGAGCAGCCAAGTGGGCGGTGGATGGCGGCGCGGTCTTACGCGGCCAGGCAGCGGCTCCCCTCCGGCGCGGCGCGGTCTTACACAGCGAGGAGGCGGCCCTCCTCCGGCGTAGGCTGCCGGGCGCAGTAGGTGTTGCTAGGGTTGTGTCCCATGGCTAATTATATAGGCCATCTGATTTTGGCAGGATTGGAAATCTTGGCATAACTGATTTTAGAGGTACAGCATAACCTGGAACAAGGCAAAAGTAGGTTCACACAAGAAATGTGGTAAAGTCTGCAGTTAAAAATTTGTAGAAAAACAGTTTTGGCCAACCCCAACTTTGAGGTGAGAAACTGGGCTGTGGGAACATTAAAATCTAGGCCTGTTTACTTAGGTCTCCCTAACTTATGTGCAAAGCATTTCAGCCTGTAGTTAAAACACTTGAGCATGAGCTGAGCTGTTTGATCATAGCTCCTTGCAGCAAACCTGCTTTTTTTTTGGGGGGGGGGGGAGTTAAGTGATATAATTTAACTGTGGCTCAGTTAAGATTTCATGTTGTCAATGTACAAAGCTGTGTGGCCTCAATGAGTTGTTGTCCTACCACTATTTCCCTTACATCAAGGCCTGTTGAACTGGATGAAGCTTATATCCAAAAGTCTAACAGAATCTTGGAAGGGATGGGGACTGTAACAAGGTCCCAATAATAGGGCTTGTGTGCTGTGGCCTAAGATAGACAACACATTAGTATGGTGTGTGTGTGTGTGGTGGCCGCCATGAGGAAAGCTCTCAATGGTATACTAGCAAATGTTGAAATGCAGATGGTCATGTGACAATCCCCATAGCTGCACCACCCATAAGGGCCAAAAAATGCAGGCAACTGTGTATGTATGTGTTATCAATGTTTGCCACAATTGTCTTGGTGAGCCAGCCCAATCACACATGACAAGGGAGTAAGAGTTAAAAAAAAAAATATTTTGCAAACTAAGGTCCCCTGCACCTCACAATCACAGAGAGCCCCATTCTCACATCATTTATTCTCACATAATTTATATACCTTCCTGCACAAAGGATGTCAGAAGCTCTACTTTGATTGGCTATAATTTGCCACAGTACAGGTTGTCTTAATACACCTGCTCACAACTATTTCTACCAATTAAAATTTGCCGATGCTCCTACCTTTATCAGCCAAAACTATGATTGTCACTTGGAGCTTCTCATTACCTCAGCCTCCCTTATCGGTTTGTATGTGTCCTGCACACCTGAAGATTATGACTCCCTAGGCCCATCTGAAAATCAGCCTGTCTCCTTCAAATATATCTCATAACATCCAATTCATTAGGACCAGCTGACAGTCATAAAATAATCATCTAACAAAGATCAATGTATTGGGTAACATGTTGGGCTTTAGCTGGAGACACCTGTAACTGCATGAGAAAGGCATATGCTTTATCTCTTCTCCCTAACAGCAAAAGACCACCAGGCTAACGGTTCTTCCACCCGCCTCCTGGTACCAATAATAAATATTTGATCTCAAAGTTTATCATCAAGTTCTAAATCCCAAATCCACATTTGGACAATACCTTTATTAGGACCTAGCAAACTTCCACAAAAATGTGCAAGCTTTTGAATTCTGAAATTCTTCATCAGCCTAGATAGTAGAAAAGCAGAGAGTAAGGAAAAAGCAGAAAAGTCCAAAAATTTGACTTGATGTGGTAGCTATGAGGGCTGCAATTTAGACAGAACCATTCTCAAAGTAGCAATTGCAGCTGACTGAACGAGTCAGTGATAGGTGCTACAGAAATCAGATTGTGCATAGTAACACAGTTCAGGCAGTTTTCCTCAACAAGAATGGGTTTTTTGTAAAGCTATTGGAAGCTAATTACCCGTTCAAAAGGAAGCCACTTGAAAATATTTTGAGTCTGAGTGCTATTGTAGCTAGTTAGTTATAATGTCAACAGAATGCTGGATTAGGAGTTTGGTCTGATTCAGGTTGGCTGTTCATATGAATTACTTTTTTAAAGCTATATACTACTGGAAAATTCCCATCAACTACTCCAAGGATTGCAGATAAATTCAGACAAAACAGAAAAGTGGGCAGGCAGTGGCAGATAACATTACCACCCCACTAATCAAAACATCTAGTGTTTCTATCCTGCATGTCCTGCTCCCATTACAGCACAGTTGGGGTGTTTGTGGGGTGACATACTTCTCATTGTGTTACTTAGTTGTGGCTTTTGCTTCTTGGCTCCCTCCAGTTAATGGCACTTTCCTCAGCAACTGCATCTCTTAGGATGAAACCTATGCAATTTTGGATAGGATAAAAGGCCTACAACTCCCAGGATTGCAGGCCTTTTGTCTGTCTAAACATGCATAGGACTGCACCTTTACATTTCTGCCTATTCTTAATCATGCAGCAGTCAAATGTTCTGGAGCATAACAAGAGGACCCACCCCTTCATGATTTTAGCAGCATTCCAGAGCTGCTCTGCAAGGGTAGTGAGGACACCGTTGCTGGATGGTTCTCCTGGTTAAAAAGCAACACACATCCATAACTTCCTGCAACTAGAAATCTAGGGTAGCTGTAGTCCTAGCCATTTGTTACTAAGTTTTCTATTTGTGACAACATTTTAAGGTAAAGAGATTGCTTTAAAGTTCGTTAGCCCTGTGTGAATTGGTGTGGTCCATCCTCCCTACCTCATGCTACTATCCATGTGTAGGTGTTTGCATTATGCAAGATGAAGCAGCAGAATTCTTGGTTGTACCATTGCAAATGGCGGAGCATTGCATCTGTGTCAGAGGTATTCCATTTTGGAATGGTCCCTGATAAGTCAGGTCCCAGTGGCTCTATGCTACCTCCAGCAGCAGTCGCTGCATGCCAGTGTACACCAGTTGCTGGGAAATTGTTGTTAGTCGCAAAGTCATGTCCGACCCATCGCGACCCCATGGACAACACTCCTCCAGGCCTTCCTGTCCTCCACCATCCCCTGGAGTCACTCAAGGTCACACCAACTGCTTCAGTGACTCCATCCAGCCACCTCATCCTCTGCCGTCCCTTTCTTTTTTTGCCATCTATTGTTCCCAGCATTAGGCTCTTCTCCAGGGAGTCCTTCCTTCTCATTAGGTGGCCAAAGTATTTGAGTTTCATCTTCAGGATCTTGCCTTCTAAAGAGCAGTCAGGGTTGATCTCCTCTAGGACTGACCAGTTTGATCGTCTTGCTGTCCAAGGTACTTGCAGGAGTCTCCTCCAGCATCACAATACAAAGGCCTCAGTTCTTCGGCGCTCAGCCTTCCTTATGGTCCAGCTTTCACAGCCATACATTGCAACTGGGAAAACCATAGCCTTGACTATACGCACTTTCGTTGGCAGGGTGATGTCTCTGCTTTTTAGTGTGCTGTCTAGATTTGCCATAGCTTTCCTCCCCAGGAGCAAGTGTCTTTTGATTTCTTGGCTGCAGTCCCCATTTGCAGTGATCTTGGAGCCCAGGAAAATAAAAACTGTCATTACCACCATTTCTTCCCCATCTATTTGCCAGGAAGTGAGAGGACTAGATGCCATGATCTTAGTTTTCTTAATGTTGAGTTTCAAGCCAACCTTTGCACTCTCCTCCTTCACCCACATCAAGAGGCTCTTTAGTTCCTCTTCACTTTCTGCCATGAGAGCGGTATCATCTGCATATCTGAGGTTGTTGCTATTTCTCCCAGCAATCTTAATTCCAACTGGTGATTCATCTAGGCCTGCCTTTCTCATGATGTGCTCTGCATATAAGTTAAATAGGCAGGGCAACAGTATACAGCCTTGCCGAACTCCTTTCTCAATTTTGAACCAATCAGTGGTTCCGTGCCCTGGGATATTGCTGAAACTGTATCCTACTTGTGGGATCCTGTGGGCAGCTGCTTGGCCACTGTGTGAACAGAATGCTGGATGGGGTGGACCTCGAAGACTCTCCTTATGTTCCTATTTTTTCCTCTACAATCTTCATTTAGGATCATTTCATTATAGGGTTGACAAGACTAGAAATATTCAGTAGTTGCCTTCTATGCAGTACGAACCAGCGTTCATTTGAATGTCACTGCCACTGTCTGTGAAGATCCTCCACCAGCTTTCCTTTCAGCTATGCCTGCTGCTCAGTAGCTACCTTTCAGGAGTTTCTTTCCCCCATCACCATTAGAAATATCCACTTTCTTCTCCTGATGTGGCCTTACTCCTGAAGAGGGTGGTTGCATCTTAGTCTGGTGTCTCCACCTTGTCCATTCAGCCTGGGATAACCCTGGCTCAGAGTCCAGCCTGGTGGGAGCGGGAAAAAGGATGGCCAGAAGTACCCGAAGGCAGAAGAAAAGGAAGACCAAGTCAAGATGTCTCCATCAAGGCAGCCACAACTTTAAGCTGAGAAGAGGCCACCTTGGGAAGGGCAGGGCATTTTGGAGGGGGGTCATTCTGAGGGTTGCCCTTAGTCGGAGACGACCTGACTGCACTGATTACCGCTTTTTAATTTCCTTTCAACTTTTCCTCAGGAGAACGCGCCGGACTCGCCTCCCCCTCCAGCGAATCTCCCGCCGCTTGAGGAGGCTCCTCGTGAGGCAACGGAGCGCGCCCGCACTTGCCACGGGGGAGGGGTCTGCGCATGCGCTGCTTCGCTCTTTCCGCGCGAGCGGGCTTGCGGGACTGTTAAGCGAGGCGCGAGGCGGCGGCGGCGGCGGGGAGTGGGCGTGGCCAGGGCGGGCGGAGTCTTGCGGTAGCCGCCGCCACCAGTCTTGCGCTGAGGGGAGGAGAGTGCGGCCGCTTCGCCGGTGCCGCTCGGCCCTGGCTCGGGGCCAAGCGCGGCTGGAGCCGGGTTGCGGCCAGCGGGGGAGAGAAGGAGCCGACGGAGGGAGCCGCTTCCTTCCTTTCCCGCCGTCTTGTCTGCGTCCCCGCAGCCGCAGCCTGCCTCTCGTCTGGCTCGGGGCGCACCGGTAAGGAGGGGCCGCTTCGCTGCGGAAAGGGGCGCGCGAGGTTCCGGGCGGCACAAGCCTCTTTTCCGTGCGCATGGAGGAAAGGGGAGGCAAGTAACTTTGCAGACCAGGAGGCGAGGGGTAGATGCAAGAGGACGGGATGGTGGAGGCAGAAACAACGCCTGCCCCTCGAGCAGGGAGAGTTTTCTTTATTGCCATCACAGCAGAGGGTTTGCATACTTTTAAGCTTTAATTGGTTTACCGCTAATGCGCATCTTGCATGTCGTTACTCTTGGATCTGAATTTGCCATTTTTTTCTGCTATGCACACGCACCCGCCAGCTGCGGATAGAGCAGTGTGCATCTGACCTGCTAGGCTGATGTGTTGGCATTAAAGTTCCCGCAAGACTTTTCGTTGCTTTTGTTGGCGTGTTCAGATAATTGGAGGAGGCCTTTCTCTATGTTCCTTTTATAAAGGTGAATACAAGTCGCATTTACAAAATAAAGAGGCTGCTCTGCGATAGTGCCCTAACTTCGGAATGTTTTCATGCGGAAGATCCGCCCAGATGCTTTTTAAATTGCAGGTTTAAATCTGTATTTGCTGATTGCAATAGCTTTAACTATTTCCATTTTTATTCTACCGACGCTTGGGGGTCCTTTTCTATCCGTACGGAATGTTTTCTTTTTGTAAACGTCCCCCTGAAACCTGTAGTCTGAATCTTGCAGATTGTTTAAATAAATAAATTGTGCACTTAAAGAGCACTAAGCCACCTCGACACACTGAAGCTTAGTTCCAAATGTTAAAAAAGGGTATGGTTGGGTTCTCACTTCTGAGTTTATAAAAGCAGTTCTGCTTTTCTCAGGGTTTATCATTTATTTCATTAAAAATATGTCCATTAAATGTCAGCTTGTTCCTGTCTCAAAATTCATTCTCTCCCCTCTCCCTCACATGCTGTTGAACTGGAGTTGTCATATTCTCCCTTACTTGAGGAACTGTCTCTTCCATGCCTTTTTTCTCCATAATTGGTAGGAGCTCTTTTTCATTTCATAACTTTCCTGGATGAACAACATTGCAAATCACCCTCCCTCTTCTGCCTCAGTTAATTTGTCTGGATCACTGCCATCCCTTTTTCCTGTTATTACAGTGCTAAAAAGCTATTTACTTAGTAAAGTTGAAGACTTTAAGTTTGTCAGTATGTATTAATTTCATCCAGAATCGTGTTTTGACAGTTGTGTTAGTAACTGTGAGCGTAAGATTTGCCTGCATAATTTAATGAACATTAATAGGCTCACATTGCTAGGGTAGAAAAACCTTCCTGTGTCCCATTTTAGGCTCCTGGTTAGAATGAACAGGTGGAGAAGCTGTGTTACTTCATTGATTTAACTTTTATACCACCCAATAGCTGAATATAGAAGTGACTTTACAGGAGCATGGTAAAATAAAAACATCTGTAAACATTTTTCTACAATATTAGTTTAATAATTTTGGTATAATTTAGCAGTGAAATCCAGTATTTAATACAGAACAGACCTTTAACAAAACATCAGACAGAGCCATTAGATAACCTTAGATGTCTTAAAATGCCTCAGCACAGGGGCTGCCTTAACTGGATGCTGAAAAGATGATGAATTGGGTGCCAGGCAAGCCGCAGTGGGAAGATTATTCAACAGTCGGGGAGGGTGGGGGCTGCTAATGAGATGTCTTCCCTCTTGTGGCTGCCCTCTGAACCTCTCTTTGGGGGCTGCACTTGGAGGAGGACCTCATGTTGGCTGTAGCAGCATATGGGTACATTGTGGTTGCAAGAGGAGTTGTGTCAAATATTGCTGCCCCAAGCCATGTAAGGCTTTGTGGGTTAAAACAAGCACCTTCAGTTGGGCTTGGAAGCAGTTAATGCCAGAGGGCCTGAGTCAGTGTTACGTGTTCAGAGGTTCTTCTCCCAGTTATCTGGCTGCTGCATTTCGCATAAGCTGCAGCTTCTAAACAATCTTCAAAGGCAGCCCGATGTAGAGTGCATCCCGATATTGGAGGTGGCACTGTAGGAAGTAAACTTTACCTGGAGAGGTAAAAGTTCACCCTTTATTCAATAGAATAGAGATACTGCCATAGTTATCCAAGTAGACTTGGGCTGCTGTTACTGTCTGAGTGTTTGTGTGGTTTGTGCCATTGACTGCTTATGGAATTAAAGCTGACCAGATCTGTTCATTATCTTACATTTTCTGCCTGTTTTCCACACAGCAGAAATATTTTCATATTAAATAGTGCAGCTATGAAAATGAGTGCTTTGGGAAAATGCTTATGTGAACATTAAAATACTGTCTGTAAGCAGAATTGTTACGTGTTTATGAGGAATTGCTTAGGACAAGCATATCCTGCTTTGACGTTCTGGAGACAGGAGTTGAGGAGTCCAGTAGCTGAAGCTCTCTGGGTGGTTTATAACAAAATATAAAAACAATAAAGTACAATAGATAGAAACATTAACAAGAATTAGAAAACAATTTAAAATAGCATACAAAACATTAAAAGACAAAAGACAATAAAAAGAGCCAGTCAAGAATAAAAGAAAATCGCCTGGAAATTGTTTCAGCTCCCTGAGTGTCCAGGGAGGTCTTTAAAGGCCTCTGCAAAGAGGGCTGCCTTAATTTGGCACCAAAAAGATGGCAAATTTGGTGCCAGGTTGGCTGCAGCAGGGAGGTTATTCCAAAGATGGGGGGCCACTGCAGAAAAGGTCCTCCCTCTAGTTGCCACCCTCCAAGCCTCTTGAGGAGTTGGCATTTGGAGGGAGGGCCCCAGAAGTGTCATAGTGTCAAATTGTCATAGTGTCAAATTGAGCATAGTGTCAAATTTAAAGTATTTCTCTTTGGAAGTACAATGGTACCTCAGCTCATGAACTTAATCCGTTCCAGTACTCTGGTCGCTACCTGAATTGGTCACGAGCCAAGTCAAAGTCCCCCATAAGATTCAATGTAAATGGTTAATCCAATCTGTAAATATGTTTTTAATCACAAAGATATGAAACAAAGTAACAAAGAACAACAATGTAACAAAGTACAGTAGAGAATAGTAACCTAGGTGTGGGGGAGGTTATTGTTTGGAGGGAGAGTCCAAACCATAATCGTGTGATAACGATCATGCTGGGGAGAGAGATGGCTGCGATCATGCTCAGGGGGGGGAGATGGCCGTGATTGCAGGCATGCTCTTGCAGGGAAGACTGGTGCAATCGCAGGCGCACTGGGTGGGGAGACGGGCACGATCGTGCACATCTCCCCCCCCCGAGCACGACCACGATCGCGCCCATCTCCCCCCCGCATCCCCCTGAGCACGATCATTCAGGGAAGATGGGCACGATCACGATCGTCACCCATTGCAGAGTTCGCGACCTGAGTCAAAATTTTTCAGAAATTTCTGTTTGCGACCCGATTGGGTCGTGAACTGAGGCATTCGTGAGCTGAGGTACCACTGTAGTTCCCTCAGTACTCTGAGGTTTGTTCTGTCTGTTATGGCTACTTACAGCAACCTTCTCAAGTGTTTAGAAACTGCTACTTAAGAATTAAGACTGCCTGCTTCTAAGGAGATGCACTGAATGCTTCAAAGACATTTATGGGGATATGAATGCCTAGAAGAAATAGAAAGGATTTTTTTTTTCAGTCGGGGAAGGTTTTTCCAGTTTTTCCTCAGGGCCTTTCTTCCTCAATCTGTGAACCATTTAAAATTATGAAATATTTTCTTAAAGAACGATTATTAAAATGCTTAAGACAAGGAGTCAGATATACCTACCTGCCCTATATTCTGACTTTTAGGATAATTCTGATACTTTAGGGACTGCTCACTAACATTTTCCCTGGTCAGACATAAAATAGGAACCTAAAATGCTGTATGCATGAATTGTTTTGCTCATAACATTGTCATAATTGGTATATTGAATTATTATTTATTCAGATAGCTATCAATTTAGTAAGTCTACTTTTAAGTATTTTAAATTTTAATGATAATTTTATGAGCAAAAAAGGTTATATTTCTGAAATAACAAAGTGATTTAATCTGTAAAGAATGCTTTTAAAAAGAGCATTGATTATTTTCCAGTTTTCTTCAAAATTTCAGGTTCCTCCGCAACCGCCCCAGTTCCCTGGGAAATAAGCATTATTTCAAAATTTCCAGCAATGTTACATTTGTTGTGGTCCTAACTAGTGAAAGAGAGTGAATAGTATAAGCAGACTGTCTCTTTAGACTGCTGGTGGCTGGTTGCAGGAACATATATTCAAGGCTACCCCTTATCTTACATTTTGCATCTCTTGTTCTACATTGTCCTGGATGAGGCCATATATCAGATGAATTCTGTATGAAGCAGCAAAGGTAACGCCATGGTGAGAAGTGGCATGAAGGGAGGGGATGTAAGAACAAATGTGGGAAATGGGTCCAAATCTGTCATTAAATCAAATTTTGGAAAGGAAATTGATTTTTATTTATTTATTTTTTGGGCGGAATTGTTGTGTGTGAAATGTTCTGGGGAAGGCTGATTGTCAGGAAATATTCTTGGAATTTGGTTTGAAGTTCAGATCCCATCTTTGCCTTGTTGACAATTGGTTGCCTTGGACACTTCATGTATGTCCCTCTCACGCTACACTCTGCATTTCCAAGCATAGCTGGCCAAATTCCTCTGGAAAGCTAACAAGCATGAAGGCAGCATTTTTTTTCTCCATGAAGGCCTTTTTCTAGCATCTGATACTCAATGCTATGCTATCTCTGTACATGGCGGTTCTATTGAACTAACATAGCAGATAGGAGTGACTTTCATGGAAGAAGCTGGAATAAAGCAGGAAAAGAAGCTTTGGGATGGCGAAACAAAGAGAAGTTGCTTGATTGAATGCGTTGGACTTGTATAGCAGTTACTGGAAGCAAAAGCTGCCCCTGGCTGGGAGTGGCACTAATTGTTGTTGTGGCTTTTTTCCAGCTGTTGGCTCTGGGGCATGTGTTTTTTCTTTTGTATTATAATCTCCAAGGTGGGAGAATTAGTGTGCCTGAGT